AGGGGAAAACACTCGTTCGTGAAGTGGAGCACGTGATGGTTTGGAATGGGTGTCAGGGAATTTGTCGAATATACAGAGATCGATAGGAGGATTGGTAGTTATGTTTCTTGCTTCTTCTTCTACTCCGGGCGGGGACTCCTTCGGCGCGCGAGGTAATCAACCCGTCTCCGGCTAGGAGGTCGTCACGTTTGCTTGCTCAATTCACCGGATGAGTAAGTCTTGGTGGGGTCTAGTCCTCTGGCGGCGGCGAAAACCAGCTTGGAACCCGGCAACTCCTAAATCACCTACAAAACCCCCCTTCTGCTCCTCCTTCTCTCCTTCTCTTTACAACCATCACAGCTTCCTTTCTTCGTCGACCGTTCGCCTTCATTCATTCCTTCCTTCCTTACTCCCTCCCTTCCTTCCTTCCACCTGATCTCGAGATCAAACTTCCAGGTACGTCGTTCTTTCCCCCCCACTTGTTACTTCCAGGATAACCTTACAGAGCTATCCTGCTCAGCCGTAGCAGCGAGGAACTGAGGGATCCGTGCAACCTGTCTACAAAGTAGACAGGTTGCAGCGACAATAGACGGATCTAACCCTCGAGGCTGAGTAGAAAAGGTCCAAGGACGGGGTTTTCTCTTCCGCTGCCGGCAAAGTTCTTTCCCCCTTCCTCCGGGAGTCCAAGTCGGGTGAGAGCCGACTTGCTCCCGTTGGATGGCCTCTCCGAGACTGGGTGACAGACGGTTTCGTGTTGACGAGGAAGAAAAAAACCAAGAAAGTATAACTTGGTTTACCACCCCCCAAGTTATACGCGTATAGCTTGGTCTACTACCCCCTCAGGTTATACGCGGAGGTTTTCTTCCTTTGCTGTGAGAGGGCAAAGGTCTTTCCTCCTGGCCATGCACGTCACATGTGTGAGAGACATGCCGCGCGCATGCATGGCCAAGGCCCAAGAATCTCCGAAACCGGGCTGCAGACGGTTTCGTGATGATGAAACAAAAAAACCAAAGAAGGTGTAACTTGGTCTACTACCGCCCCAAGTTATACACGCATAACGTGGTTTACTATCTCCCCCACGTTATACGCGGAGGTCTTCTTCCTTTCAGAGCAAAGGTCTTTCCTCCGGCCATGCATGCAGGCGAGGCATGCATGCGCCATTGGCCATATGTTGTTGCTCTGGCCGCTGTGCGAGAGGATGACATCGGCTTCTTATCAATTGCGGTCTGCACTCGATCTACGTCAAACCCGGGTTGCGGCTTTTCCTTTTTTAGTTGTGGAGTGGGTGGCTAGCTACCTAGGTAGGTAGCTGGATTGTTGCTTGGAGGGAGGGTCATCATCAATTCATGCGAAATCACTCGCTCGTGCAGTGAAGCACGTGACGTGTTATAATTGAGAAAAGAACTTGACTTGACTCAATTGATGGATGTATTGATATGAGAAAGATGAGAAAGAAGGCTGATTATAAAGGAAAAGAGCTCCTGTAGACGACGAGATGAAGGCTGGGCCTCAGACCTCTGAGAGGATGCGATGATAGTCGTCGCCGTCGCCGTCGCCGGACTGGGCTGCACTATGGGCTTGAAGACTTGAAGGCTTTACTCGAGCTAACGAGGCTGATTCTGATGAGAAGCCATGGACAGTGCTAAACCGCCACGAAGGAATTGACGCTGACTAAACGCAATAAACGCTGGGCAATATTCCCAACCCAACCAGTGAACCAATATAACGGCCACATCTAGCCTTCCAGCCTTCCAGCCTCCGTGCTACAAAAGACTCGACTCGCCGTATTTGTGCAGCACCTTCAGACCAGACCAGACCTGACCCGAACGGATGGGATGGCATGGGATCGGTTTCGTCTAGCCGGACCGCGGTATCCTACACAGTCGCTCACTCGGTTTTCCGGTTAATCATGGTCACTTACTCGCATTCAATCCAAGAAGACTACATCTTATGTAAGTACGGCTGCCATACAGTACTATTCAGTCACTCGCAGCACAGTGGTGACCCTGCTGAGTGAGTGAGTGAGTGAGCGAGACACTATGCCACTGCCATAGCTGTCTGAGCACGGCGCCACTCCCGACCCCGAGTCCGACCGCTCCATCCGACCGCTCCATCCATCCATCCGTCCCACTTCGCATCGGACCTCCTCCTGCAGCGAGCGAGCACTGAGCAGGAGGAAGGATCGGGGTACGTAAGCGCCCCGCCTCCGCTACGGACTCGTTCGTCAGCCATCTCACTTAGGCTCGTATCTAACCAGCTGACATTGCATCTCGATTCTCACCGCTGCTAATTATCACTCACTCACTCAATCAACTCCCACTCAGCTCGCGCTGCAACTCTCACTTCCTGCCTGCCAATCTCGAGCCCAAGCCCGAGGTAGGTACGTAGTTAGCGAGATGAAACTAACCGTCGTCGTCGTTGCGATGCAACGCAAAGACAACCGCCACCCCGCTGTCGTGTCCCGTTACTCCGTTACCTCGTTACTACGAGATGGGACTCACCCACACACACGACACGAGAAGAGAGAAGAGCGAGCGTATTCCAGTCCCGGAGCGGACCGGTACCGCCGAGCCGAGCTGAGTAGAGCAGCCAGTGACAAATTCACGAGTGCTCACACAGCAGCAGTGTCAGTGGGTGCGTGGGTATCGTGGCCATAATTGTCATCCTCCCCCTCGTTCTCCTTGTACGCAGAACCAACCACGCAGCGGCTCCCATCTCTGCCGGGGAGGCCGGTACGGGATCCGTGTGGTGCTTTCATCCATCTGGGGGAGCGAGCGAGCGATCCGGGCAGGGGAGGGTGTGATCTGGGCGTGTTCAGGGCGTGATCTGGGCGTGCACAAGGTTCAACTTAAGGGGTCCGCTGAGACAGCGGATCACGGGTGGGTGTCTCTTTCGCTCGAACTCCCGACTTGGCATCAGCATCAGCACCAGCAACAGTAGCAGTAGCAGCAAACAACTGCCAGCGACCCAGCCAACCAGCCAGCAAGGCAAGCAGCGCACCTTCCCTCCTCCTGGCGCTGGAAGAAACCGGCGGTGTGCGGATGGGGCAGTGGGAAGAGCGGAGGAATGTCCTCCCTCCCTCGCTCGACAACGGCAAAGACGCAATCCAACAGATCGTATGTACTATATGTACCATACCTGGTATGTAGTAGGTAGCAGCTCGCCATCGCTCACCCCATCGGTCGAGGCGTTGTACCAATATACCATACCATACCATCCTACTATACATCCGCACCTGGCCAGAGTCCAGTTTCCACGAGCGGGTACCACCAGCAGCACCACCACCAGTACCACCACCCGTACCACCACCCGTACCACCACCCGCCTCCCCCGCCTCCTATCCAGCAAAACCGCCGAGCATTGCCCAAAAAAACCGCCCAATCCAGACTCTGCCAGACTCTGGCCACGGGAAGCTGCCTGCGCTGTACAGAACCAGCAGCAGGACCAGGGACCACACAAGAGCCAAGGGACCAAAGGGCCAAGGGACCAAGGGGACAACTGCCGCCCGGCTCACGTGGTACATGCAGAGTCTGCGGTGAGGTGGGTGAGGTGGGTGAAGTGGGTGTGGTGACGTGACGTGTGTCATGACGGGGTGGCGTTGGGGAGCACAAGGCAAAGGCAACGACAACGACGACGGGAGCGTGCAGTGCAATGCATTGCTGTGCAGCAGTGTTGTAAGAGGTGGAGGTGGAGGTGGAGGCGGAGGTGGTGGTGGATAAGGTTGCGCTCCCGTTTCCCCCCGGGCTCGCTGGCTGGCTGGGCGGGCGGCGGCAAGTCGTCGTCTTGGAGCTTGGAGGGGCGGGGGGGAGGGGGGGATTCCTAATTGCGACATTCACTGACTGGCAGATGATGGATGGATGAGGGATAGGCCAATGTATGGATGGAGGATGGGGGATAGATAGGCGGCCAGCGAGATAGGGCAGGTAACCAGATCTTCGGGTCTGTGTTCGGGTGCCGGTGCGGGTCTGGGTTGGAGCTGGAGTGCTAACTACCGGTACTTAGTCGCTACTCGCTGACCGGGCGGAGACGATAATGGCCGCACGCTGGAAGTGGAGGTTTGAACGTAGGTGGTGGTGGCGGTGGTGGCCGATGATTCAGTGCTCCACGATCTGCCTACGAGATATCATGGGGGGGGGGGGGGGGGGGCGTGATCGCAGATTCGGAGATTTGTAGATTTGCAGTTGTTTACCATGTGATATCGCCGGGCTGACAAGCTACGCAGAATTGCAGTATTTCAGAATTGCAGCCATGTAGGTACAGATACACCGTGCACTTGTATTGTTGTATAACCAAGTATCTTCAATAATTTACACCGTTCAGCAGCCTTATTCTCCGCTCTCCCCCAGCCCTCCCACTCCCAGCTACCAGCGGTCAGCCTTCGCTTCCTCCTACAGCCCTCCCGCCCGCCCTCCCCCAGCCCTCCCTCCCACCCCCAGTAGCAGCCTTCTCTTCCAGCCCTCTCCCCCAGCCAGCGCTCACACCCAGCCTACCTTGGCACCCACACCTACCTAAGCCCGGCCACTCTCTCCACATCTCACAGATCCGGCGGCATTATCATAACCGCTCACCAGTTCACCGTTTACCGTCCCAGTCCTAATCTTCCCAATCTCCTCAATCTGCCCACTGCCCAGCGAGCGGAGCAGATCCTCACCCGCCCTTATTTCCTTCCACTACTCAGTGCTCAGTGTTCACTTCTCACAATTCAGTGCTCAACACAACGCAGAACGGAGAAACCAAAACGTCACCGTCATCGGGTGATCACCTCCTTGCCTCTCTGTCTCTGCCCCTCCCCCCCTTGTCAATCCGCCGCCATTTGACACTCCCTCCCCCTCTACCGCCATTTCATCCCCATTCCATGCCCGCCACCCACCGTTCCTGGCCGTAATGTAAGCACGCTCAGCACTCAGCACTCAGCAAGAGCAAGGGAGACAAGCACTCTAGGTAGCAATTCATTAATCATACGCTCGTACATCACATTGTAGTATCATCAAAACCAATCGAAACCGATCCGTCAAAAGACAGAGTCAAAGGTCAAAAATCAAAGGTAAAGGTAAAGTGAACTACAGACCACCCACACATCCACCCGCCACTGTCCTCGTCCAACGTCCACCCGCCATCATCCCCCTCGCCGTCCCCGTCCCCCTCGTCCCCCCAACATCCCGACATCCCATCCAGCATTGCGGTAAACAGTGAGAAGAAAGAAAAGAAAAAAAACCCTTAATATTCGCCATTTCCCCCATTCCCCGTCCGCCCCTAGGTCCAGTCCAGTCCAGTCCATTCCATTCCACACACAGAAAACAGTCCCTACGTTTGCCAAACACACAAGTAAAAGTAAAAGTGGAAGAAAAAAAAACACTCGGAGAATAGTAATGGTGAGAAAACAAATGGGGAGAAAAAAAATGAGGAGGGGAAAAAAAAACAATGAAGAACGGAAAGAAAAAAAACAGCGCCCAAATAGTAGACATCAAGTCAACTAAACACCCTGACCAAACCGAGATATCTCCACCAGTAACACCATAGAACAAGACAATATGATTATCAAGAGGAAAATGTCAGTGAAAAGCAGAAAACAATAAGAGCAGAAACAAAAAGCAAAACGCAAGTACAACTGATATCCCGATCCCAATCCTAACGATGATGAAGATGTAAGTAGTAATTCCATGGCTCCAGCAGCGCTCCAGTTTTGCCGTAAACCCGCAACATCCCCCGAACAATCAAGAAATTCCACGCAATGGAAACACACGCCGAGAAGAAAAAAAAAATGGAAAACCCCCGGAAGAAAAGGAAATGGAATCAATGAAAAAGAAACACAAACCCAGGGGAAATAGATGTAAAACCCGAATAGCAAACAATATGAATGATGTTACAAAGCAGCTGCTCCGAACCGGAAGCAGGAAAGAAAACAAGTCACAAGTCCACAAATCGCGCCAACTAGAAATGCCATTCGTAACAGCTTCATCATCCATTTTCGTCAACGGCCAGCGGTAGGTTGAATATCCGTTCGTGATTAGTGTGAGACGGCTGAGGTGAGGCCGCCGATCCCGACGCCTTACGCACACACCTAACCCCACACACACACTGAAAACTGCCGGGATGCGCATCACAGCGGAGGAATGTCGGGGTAGTAGCCCTTGGACGTCTCCGCCGTCTCAAAGGTTCCGCACTTCGTAAACAGGTTATTGCTGTGACTGAAGCGCTGATCGCGTCCGGCGATAGCGCCACTTCCGTGCCAGGGAACCGCACCCGCTGGGGAAAATTCCTCCTTGACAATGGTCTTGTTGCGATACGATTCGGCGTTCGCAACCGACGATGGAATATACGCCGATATCTCATTCTCGTACTGCGGACACGAGGTGTCGAGGGGGTGTTCGCTCTTGCGATCGCCGTTGTACGACGTGTGGGTCTCGTAACCGCTGTCGACGCTCGGTGGCGGGGGGAGATGTGCCGACTGATACAGTGTCGACGGAACGTACGTGTAGTTGTCAAAGGTACCCGAGATCTGTGGAGAGGCATCGCCGAGGTTGGGATCGATCGGTGTGTAATGCGAGGCTGGCGAAGCGCTAGCGATGGACGGGGTCGAATGGTGGTTCACCGATGATGTCGGAGGCGAAGCGACGTGCTGCAAATTACTCATGCCCTGATTCGAACCGCCAGGACCAGCAGACGACAGTCCGTCCGTTCCCATGTATCCGGAACCGGCCGAGGTGTGCGAGGGGGCGTGGGGGCCGCCCTGTGGATTTCCGCCGGTGCTGCCTCCTCCCGGGCTCGACGTACTGCTCTGACGTCGCTCATCCGCGTAGTGGCCGGGACTACGGCCGCGCACGACCATGGGAGCCGATATCCTCTGCGCGATCTTGACCCAACCTCCGTCACCGCCCGTTGCGTCGGGCTGGCCGGGCGCGGATGAAGCCGGACTGCCCACATCTGCGTAGAGCTCGACGATGAGATGGTAGTACTGCTGCGCAGCGCGACGCTTGCCGTTGTTGGCGGTCGCCGACTTAAACTGAATACGATCGAAGACCGCGATGTGTTGGTGCTGCTGCTGCTGCTGCGTCTGCTGCGGAAACGTGTAGTCATGGTCCAAGCCTTGCTGCAAGGCGTGTCCTTGTTGCTGGATCGACGGACTCGCACTCGTGCCGGCGTACATTCCTCCTGCGGGCTGCGGGCTCAGCTTGACCTTGGCGGGCTTGTGTTGGGGGCCCTTATCGCGTTTCGGCGTGTGTTGCACGAGCTCAACCGTCTTGCCGCCGGGCGCGTCGACGACTGCCGAGATGCACATGGCGAAGGAGAGGATGTGCTCGCGTTGCGAGCTGGGTGTCCTGCGCAGATACAATGGAAGCGAGAGCGACGCGGGAAGAAGCGAGTAGCTACAGATCACCGAAAAGTAGTTTCGTCGGTAGCACGTCCAATCACGGTCCGAGAGGAAGAATCCCTTGTCGACGCGAGCGTGAATCTCGGGTCGTACGATGTGTCCGTCGGCCGAGGACAGATGCTGTAGCTGCTGGGTTTCGCCCAACGGGGGACCGCCAGTGTTGACGCCGAGGCCGTTCGTGCTGTGATCGTGGCCGGGCGAGGCGAGGCTGCCCATGGTGGGAGACACAGCGGTGGTGGGGTTCATCGAAGAGTGCGGGGAACCGAGGATTTCGGACTGCGATGCGCGCGATGGAAGGTGTCGCGCCACGCCGGGTGTGCTCGTCGTGTATTCCGTTCGCACGGAGGAAGATCCTTGTGATGGTGAGACAGACTTCGTGCTCCCCGAGGAAGATCGGTTGTGCGGCGCCATTCCTGACGTGGGGCTTTGTCTGCAGCAACAGCGGGAGTGAGCTTCCAGAACAACCAACGGCGACAGGACAACAATAATAACGACACCAACTACGACTACAGCAATACAACGGACGCCAACGACGACGGATCACGACGACGACGGATCACGACGACGACGTCGGAACACGCTGACGAGGGCGAACGATCACGAAGCGAAGGGAGAAAACAGCAACGAGGGTATTTCCGTACATTGAGGGGATTCGCGGTCTGGCGTCGTGCGGTGATGTAAGCGAGTAGCTAAAGGCGGATGAGGAGGGGGGATGGTAGGAGGTGGGCTGGAAGCCGTTGTTGAAGGAGGAGTACGCGATGGAGGAAGCAGCGGAGGTGGGAGTAGGTGTGGATGTTTCGTAACCCGAAGAGGTAGAGGTTGTGGCCGTGTATCTGCGAGCAGGGGGCGGGGGGGGCAGCAAGGGTCAGCGCGGTGTTTTTTCACTCTGACGGGGGGTGTGTTCTCGAGGGTGAGTGAGCAGCGAGCGAGGGGGAGAGAAATAGCGGACGGGACAAGACTTCAGCTAGGCCCGTCGCGTGATGACGACGAAGCGAGAGCTAGGAGAGAGGGCAGGAAGAGAGGACAAACGGAGTCAGAGACAGACGGACCGCAGACGATCAAGACTTCGGAGAGCGGTCGACTTGACGGCGAGAGGGAAGGGGAGGTAGAAGGAGAGTGAGAGTGAATGAGAATGCGAACGTGATGAAAATAGAGTTGGGAGGGGGGGGGGGGGGGAGTCTCGAGAATCGCGGGATCAAGATGAGGCACAGCAACCACCAGCAACCCAACGGATGAGTTGAGTTGAGAGAGAGCGATGAGTGCGCAGGTGAATGGCCGGGCAGAGAACGAAGCACCACACACAGACAGATAAAAGAGCGACAACGAAAATAACAGCAGCAATAAAACGACGAATAAATGAATAATAATGCGAGAACAGAAGTGAGCGATTGGGGACAGACGACTGACCGCGGCCTGACTGACAGACAGACAGACAGACGTACTGACTACTATCACAGCCAACGCCGTGTATGGGGCAGATTGATTGTTCTGCTTTTGCTGCTGCACTGGCCGCTCGCTTGCTTGCTTGAGTCGAAGACCCAGAGTCAGGCTGTGGGGCTGGGGGAGGGGTGTGTGTGTGTGCGTGAAGAATGACCGGGATGGTGATGGGGTAGGTGCAGTAGGCAGTAGGCAGAAGCAGCCCGTGGCCGGCGGGAGAAAATGGTAAGACGCGACGCAGCACCGCCAACGACGATGACTGCGACTCGACGGAGAGGTCGCTCACTCGATCGTTCGACCGACACGCCCCATCAATCGATCAATCAATCAATCAATCAAGGGTCACCAATCAGAAGGCAGAAGAGGGGCAGCGTCGGAGGTGTATGCAGAAGGATGTCGGTGTGTGGGTGAGCGAGCGTCCCGATGCGCGGTGGGTGGGGTGGTGGTGGGTGTGGAGGGAGGGAGGGAGGGAGGGAGGGGGGGGGGGGGGGGGGGGGGGGGGGGGGGATGGATGGGATGGGCGGCACAAGCGGCGGCGGGCTGCAGCTGTGGCAGGACGAGGCAATGCACACGGCAGCAATCAGAGCTCATACAGCCAGCCGCGCCGAGTCTCCTGCGAGGGCAATGCACCGAGAAGGTCGGACGCTGCAGAGTGAGCGATGGAGGAATGAGATGGAGGGGGAGGGGAGAGTTATGCAGGGAATATGACACGAGCAACGCCAAAGAGAGCAACGAGCGAACGAGCGAACGCCACACTAGAGTAGCCAGGCTACCGAGCGAATCAACGCGCGAGCGAGTACGAGTCCATGACATGGACCGTGAGTGCAGCGTGTGGAGGGGTACGGAGGGCTTGGGAGGGGTATAGCAGCAGCCGCAGCAGCACGGCGAACGGTGCAAGGAATGAAACCGACGGGAAGAAGGAAATGAAACTGACGACGCGGGGGAAGGAATGAAGCCGAAGATCGGTTATCTGTCGAATATCTCCTCGACAGACAGGGAGAGATGGTCGACGATTACGCTACGGCAGTGAACCGAAAGCGATTATCGTCACCAGCATCTTCCTCTCGTCGGCGACGGGATCCAACACCATCCGTCCGAATCAATCGTCAACCGCGAATCGTCGGGATCGGACGATCCCAAACGAAGTAAAAAAATATAAAAGGAATATAAAAGGAATATAAAAAAATCACGGAACTTCCGAGTACCAGAAACAAGCAAAGCGAGTGAGTGACACAGCACCCGGAACCAAAGGAAAAAAATCATTGAAGCCGAATTCGACAGCGGCGCACGATGTACTCTGTGACGCCGCTGTCTTTTTTTTCTTTTTTTTTGTCTTCGTCTTCTGTCTCTCTCTGTCTGCCGGGGGGGAAACACTTCTCTCTCGGGGCAAAGGGAGCAGAAAGCAAAAACCAACCACTCGGGAAGCAAGGTGGTAGTGGTGGTGGAAGGAATGGGAGAGAGTCATACCGAGGATCCTGCAGCGCCGGAAGTGGTGCGCCAAACCGGTTGTTGTTGCCCGACGACGATGGAACGGGGAGCGACTGGATCGAGCTGTGTGAGCTCGGGTGCTGCTGCTGCTGCTGGAGGTGATGGTGGTGCTGCTGTTGCTGTTGCTGGTGATGATGCTGCTGCTGTTGGTGGTGATGATGCTGCTGCTGCTGGTGCTGCTGTTGTTGGTGGTGATGGAGATGGTGATGTTCTCGCTCAACCGACAAGCTGCTGAGGTGATCGGGTTTCGGAGACATCTGAACGGGACCGAATCCTGTGAAGCGCACGCAAGGAAAAAAAGGTGCTTGCGTTAGAGAAGGACTCGTAACCAGAGACGTCGATAATAATATACGCGGTAATTTTTTTAAAGAGGCAAAAAAAGGAAGAATCGAAAGGAAAAAGAAAGTAAAAAAAAGACAAAAATTAAGTGCTTATAATCGCGTTTGGAAAGCGTAGGAATTAATGGGCTTCTCTTATGGGCTGGTATCGACTAGGCTAGGTTCGAAGGAGGAGGAGGAGGTAGGCAGGAGAAGGAGCAAGGTCGAAGGGCAAGGTGCTCAGTAGTTGGATGGCTGTGCAGGAGGCAAGCAGGAGCAACAGCAGCGATGTGCTCAGTCCATGCGCTTCCATGGTTGTCGTCGCCGCCGCTTCCTCTTCCCTCGAGCTTGGCCCGCTCGACGGGGTCTTCAAAACCACGTGCCGAAGACCTCGCTAGGCATCACTAATCGGTGCGGAGGTGCATCGGACGTGCGAAAGGGCAGGAAGGAAGGAGGGCAGGCAGGCAGAGGCAGGCAAGCAGGCAAGAAACAAGCAATGCGGATGGATGACCGCGCACTCTCTCTCCGTCAAGCTTGAAACAGCCAAACAGCCACAGAGGGAGCCTTGAGGGAAGGTAGGTAAGCTCCCGGAACAAGGGATGGGTGGAGGGGAAGGGGGGGCGGGGGGGGTGGGTAGGGTAGGGTAGGTTAGGGTAGTAGAGTGTACTCTAGAGCAATAGTAATAGTAGTAGCTAGGGGGGGTTGTACTCTACACTATGCAATGAATCGAGGGCCAAAACCGAGGAGGGAAGGATTGACCAAGAGGGAAGACGATTCAGAAGCAGCCAGAACTATGAGAAAGGCGTCGGGCGCGACTGGGGGAAGTCGGAGGGGTATTGGAGGGAGGGGGGGCTGGATAGATGATGATGATGATGATGATGATAATGATGGAGGGGTTCAAGTTAGGGGGGCAGTGTCGCCATGGTAGTGGTGAGCAGGTGCAGTTTGTGAGGGTGGTGGTGGGAGCCACGAAAACCGACCGACTGAACTGAACTCTGACGGGGGGGGGGGGACCAGGGCAGGTAGGAGATCAGAGAAGGGGAGAGTATTCCAAAAACAGGCCAGACTAGCAGGGCAGCAGCAGCAGCTATCTGGACCAGAGGACTGCATCGATCAAGAGATGCACCACCTACGCGCATCTGGCAGAATTACTGACATGATGTTATGCTTGCTGCGCGCTGCGAGCTGCTGCTGGGCTGTTGGCTGCTGCTGCTGCTATTGGCATGGCCGGGTGCTGCGAACTGCAAGCGACCCCACCAGAGCGGACGGGGGGTGTGGGAAATGACACTCAGAACAGCAGAGAGAGAAACGAGAAAGGAAGAGGGATAGAGAGAAGGGGAGATAGAGTTCAATTCAAGCGAATGCGAACAGAAGCAGTGGGGAGATAGGCAGGCCTAGGCTAGCAAGAAGGAAGGTAGTTTTAGTTACTCACTATTGTTGTTCATGATCCCAGCTTCCGCGCTGGGGCGCAACGACCACAAGACAGCCAGCGGGACGGCGAAGGGGGAAGGGTGGAGAGGTGGAAGGCCGGGGGTGGTTGCTGGTGGAAGGGAAGGTCGGGAGAGTGCGTCTGGGCCTAGTTGGTGCGGTTGGTGGTTGGTTGGGCTGGCCGGCCGTGTGATTGGCTGGGCTGGCGGGCTCAGAAGGGGCAGGCAAGGCAAGGCGAGTATTATTCGAGGTCGATTCGAGTCCCGAGAAGTGGACGAGCAGAAGAGAGGAACCAAAGGCCCGGAACGTCGACGTCGACGGAGTCAGTACTAAGTAGGGTGCGGTATCGGTATCTGACACTCTGCGTAACTTGGCTGCGTAGCGTGGAAAGCGGGAAAGCGTGGAACGTATAAGCGTGAAAGCGTGAACCAACTGCGTGAATGTGAGGAGAGAACACACACCGCCCCCAAAAGTCAGCCGAGATATTGCCTTCCCCACCGCGATGATGATGATGCAAGACAAAGCTCCCCGCCAAAAAAAAAACCGCCAGTGCGCAACTTCCCCACAAACGGCCGCTAAACCCTCTTGCATGGCCCGATCATGATCATCATCGACCAAACCCCAACCTCCATCCCCCATCCCGGCCGACGGCGGGCCCAGCAGGAAGGAGATGGAGTGACGCGAGGTCATAGAATCATGAGTGAGGCACGCGAAGGGGGAAAATAAAAATAAAAATAAAAAACCGGAAAGATGGGGGTGGGGATGGCGGAATAGATTGAAGCTAGACCGGCTTCTCACGCCAGACATGTGCGTGCGTGCGAGATGACGGAGGCGGAGGCGGCCGGCCCAACAGACCGACAAACCGACCGACAGACCGACCGGTCGGTCCAGAAACGACAGGAAAAAAAGGCGTGATTCAACGGAAGAAGCAAGCAACGGGAGGAGCGAGGGGAAAACAAAACAACGGGACGAAGCGCAAGTGAAGCAAGTGAAGTGTGCGAGCGAGCAACGTACCGAAATGTCACTCAAGCTCAAGCTCTCTCGGCAGGGATCAGTTCCAGTCGAGCCACAGTCAGTCCGTCTGGTTTCTTTCTTTCTTTCTTCTTCTCGTGTGGTGAAATGAAATAATGGATGCTATGTATGTCTGTATGCGAGGCGATACGATACGCAGAGACGCAGAGACGCAGGTCCTATGCAAGGAGATGATTGAAATCGGCCAACGAGAGGAGACGTCGACGTCGACGGCGACGGCAACCCAGTGGACTAAATAACGGAAAACCCCAACGCTTGTGGAGAAACAGCACTGCCCAAACGATATAGTGGTAGCCGAATGATTATCGTAAGGGGAGAGGGGGAGGGATGGGGGGGGGGGGGGGGGGTGGAAGGGGGTCAGTTGGGGTGGTGGTGGTTGTAGAGAAACTAGTGGGTGGGTGGTGGAGTTAGTGGTGGTGGTGGTGGTGGTGGTGGTGGTGGTGGTGGTGGTGGTGAAGGAGGGGGAGGGGGGGGGGTTGCTTGGAGTGGAATCCCAATCCCAATCCCGTGAGTTGGAACGAGCGGGCAGGGCAGGGTCGACCAGACCAGTAGGCAGTAGGCTGAACGGGTTGGAACGATTGCTATTCAACTGGAGGCCGGGCTTTTTGGCAAAATTGCAGATCGTCTGTAACTAAGGGCGGTGATAGGTTGCGGCGGGACGAACCTCCCCCCCTCCCTCCCACACTTGACAGTTGGTGGCGACTAGGACGAAATAACCTCCGCGACCCTCTCCTCTCTCTCGGAGGCTGACTTCGAAAGAGTCGAGTCGGATGCTTCCCTACTTGGGTCTGATACCGGCAACTACTGACTCTACCCTCCTGGACTTGTCTGGCTTGTCTGGCTTGCCGCAGAGCAGTGCAGCCGAGGCTATGTAGATGTGAATCGGAAAAGAAAACAAACAGAAAAAGCAAGAATGACTGAAGGAAGAGTGAGGGAGGAGGACGTGAAGGCAAGCTCGCTCGACGCAAGCTCGACGCAAAGAGCCGTAATGACAGGAGGGAGGGAGCCTCGGACGGAGCGAATGACTGGCTGCAGATGCTTTGCTGCTGCTTGCTGCAAGCTTGTTGAATGTTTGTGCTGGGATGGGACCCAGAGTAAACTTTTGTTTTTCTATTTTTTGTTTTTTCTGTTCTGTTTTTGTTTTTTCCTTTCTTTTTTCCCTAACTCTTCCGCTTGCTTGACTTGACTTGCTTGGCTGCGAGAGACGCTCGGATGCTCAACGGCCCTGTCTGTCTCGCTCGCTGCTGGTGGTGGTGGTGGTGGTGGTGGTGCTGCTGCTGCTGTTGCTGGTAAAGGACGTCACTGGTTGGATGGATGGATGGAAACACAGGGTAGCGCCCGCCGCCGCCGTTTAAGATTGGATGTATGTACGCACGGATATGGCGTTTCGTCGTGACTCGAGTCGAGTCGAACGGCGAACGGGCGGCGGAGGGTTGCAAACGACGTCGCTTTCGTGGGTCCGGACGAGACGTGTGTGTGCGGTGATCGATATTGTCGATGCACGGTGATCGATATTGTTGATGTACGGTGGATGCGGGCGGGGCGTAGGGGCGTAGGGCTTTCGGAACCAAACAAACTGTGCTGTGCAGTGCAGCAGGTAGGTGCCGTAGGTACTAGTAGGCACTTACTAGCAGTTACAGCTCGTCGGTGAGCTCAGGACCTCCAGAACGTTGGACTCTGAGTCTCGGAGTCTCGGAGTCTCGGACTGAATCCTGCTCCTCGGTGGTGGCCACTGGTGGCAAAGTCTCGCAAAGTCTCGCAGCTACAGGTGCTTGCTTCCTACTGACGACGAGGACGAGGGCGACGACTGGCAGTCATGGCTACATCATACTCCGAGATTCAGATACGCACCCCCCTTCTCCGCCCTCATGCTCACTCTCACACAGACACACACACACATGTAGAGGTAGAGGTAGAGTAAGGTATAGTTCACCCGGAGTGCAAGTCTACAACAGCACCTCTGGAGTACGCCTACCATCCTCCGCCCTCCTCCGCTTACGTTTCCACTGTGTTCATCCATCGGGATGGAGATCTTCCTCCCTCCCGAGGAAGCCTGGCTGCATGCCTGGCTGTCTCTGCCTGGCTGCAAGTCACCGCGAAGGTCCGAAGGAAGAAAGGAAGGATGGAAGAAGTCGTTTCGCCCGGCCACACCACCCCTCATCCCATGGACAGCGCCGCAGTCCTTACCGGCGTGTCTATCTGTCGTCAACCGGCAGCGCCCGAACCTGTAGCTAACATGTATCAGACATTTCCTTCGAACTCAGCTCCGCTCGGAGCATGTATTGGCTGTCGGGGAACGGGGGCTAGCTGATGTCGAGACTCGCCGTTCCTGCATGATACTCGCTGCCCTATCCTGCCCTGTCCTGCAACCCGAGAAGAAAGACAAAAAACGGAGGATTATGTTATGTTTGGCAGCAGCAGCAGCAATGCGGGTATGCTATGATGAGGTGAGCATTAGTTATTCGTTCCGTGAAGTTTGAGTTCTTGCTTCCCCAGCCCCAGGAAAGCTCATACCATGGGCAACTATTCCTGAACCCAGTCCAATGTCGATGATCATGCCAAAACCTAGAGTAGGTACGGCGGTACATACATGGCGAAGATCAATCTATCCCCCGTTCCCTTCCTCCCTCTCCAATGTCCATGGCCATCCCCAGGCCCCTGCGACTCGTCGCTCTGCAAGATCCACCTCCCATATTGCTATTGCCTGCCCAGTGCCCGCCGTCCGGTAGTTATTAATGGCATCAAGCGACGACGTGCACGGTGCAACAGTGGAACTTGCGTCTTGCCAGGGCCCAGGGCTGCCGGGGCAGGAACCGCGAGCTCTCCCAAGGGTATGTACCTAGAGTATATTATGCACACCCCATAACCATGTGCCATGGTTAACTCGAGTCTGGAGTCTCGAGGAAGAAGACGACCGACCGAAGGAACGGAAAAGGAGACGAGAGAGAGCTCAGAGACGGTTAGGAGAAAAATAGTTATCCGCAGTATGCATCGCACCCTGCCCTAGGCTAGGGAGTGGGAGTCGGGACTGGGACTGGGAGAGAGAGAGTTTGGTACTATTTTTCGGTATGGTTTGGTTTGATCTTCCACCCTCCCCAGTCCCCAGCGCAGCGCAGCGCGGCGCGGCGCTGGGATAAAGACGCGAATCAGGCGTCTTCGGAT